GGTTAGTCAATTTGACTTGCTAGAATAATTACGACTTAGTAGTGGGTTGGATCATCGCTCGGTGCTCCACACTTTCTGCTATGTGCCTCATCTAAGCTACGCTTAGAATATCATTAGCCACACTTTTGTAATTTTACAAAATAAATATCCTCTCCACAGCTTTCTATCTCTGATATGTAATCCCTGTATTGCTATTGTTTTTTGAAAAGATAGCAAATTAGGTTTCCGTTGCTTTACTGTTTTGAATTCAGAGTTTTTCTACATCTAGACTGGTTGCTAACCAAAGCTGGAGAGTCCAGTCTACCAACAATTTTTACTATATATTATGGGAGAAGTGTTGGATTCGTGGATTTTCCTAGGCTATTACTACGAATTGGGCACCAACTGGAATTTTAAATCGGTTCACCGATTCCATTTTTCGTGCTGTTAACCATTACGTCATTCGCACCTCCTATCCACTGCCTGAGTATTTTAAAAATATTTTCTAGACTTAGACGACACCAAGTTGATAAAACACTTATACTTTATATTTTCAAAAAGTAAATACGAGTCTATAAAGAAGGTTGTATTGGTGGATTTTATACATCTACTTTTATCTGTTTTACTATATTTGAATTTACAACTAAAAATTTGTTCGGATTTGTACTTTTAACTAATGGTCAGATTTATACTTGACATTACAGGTGGACATTAGTCAGGGTTATAGGTAAACTTTGGTCGGGTTTATACTTGACATTACAGGTGGACATTAGTCAGGTCTATACATTATACTTGAGGTCAGGGTCTATAGGTAAACTTTGGTAGGGCTTACTTGACATTACAGGTGGACATTAGTCAGGTCTATAGGTAAACTTTGGTAGGGCTTATACTTGACATTACAGGTGGACATTAGTCAGGTCTATAGGTAAACTTTGGTAGGGCTTATACTTGACATTACAGGTGGACATTAGTCAGGTCTATAGGTAAACTCTGGTAGGGCTTATACTTGACATTATAGGGTGGACATTAGTCAGGTCTATAGGTAAACTTTTTTATAGGGTGACATTAGCTTAGGTAAACTGACATTACATTATAGGTGGACATTAGTCAGGTCTATAGGTAAACTTTGGTAGGGCTTATACTTGACATTATAGGTGGACATTAGTCAGGTCTATAGGTAAACTTTGGTAGGGCTTATACTTGACATTATAGGTGGACATTAGGGTGGACATTAGGGTCTATAGGTAAACTTTGGTAGGGCTTATACTTGACATTATAGGTGGACATTAGTCAGGTCTATAGGTAAACTTTGGTAGGGCTTATACTTGACATTATAGGTGACATTAGTCAGGTCTATAGGTAAACTTTGGTAGGGCTTATACTTGACATTATAGGTGGACATTAGTCAGGTCTATAGGTAAACTTTGGTAGGGCTTATACTTGACATTATAGGTGGACATTAGTCAGGTCTATAGGTAAACTTTGGTAGGGCTTATACTTGACATTATAGGTGGACATTAGTCAGGTCTATAGGTAAACTTTTGGTAGGGCTTATACTTGACATTATAGGTGGACATTAGTCAGGTCTATAGGTAAAACTTTGGGGCTTATACTTGACATTATAGGTGGACATTAGTCAGGTCTATGGACATTATAGGTGGACATTAGTCAGGTCTATAGGTAAACTTTGGTAGGGCTTATACTTGACATTATAGGTGGACATTAGTCAGGTCTATAGGTAAATCTTTTGGTAGGCTTTGTTTGACATTATACATTAGTCAGGTCTATATAGGTTTCTATAGGTAAACTTTTGGGGCTTATACTTGACATTATAGGTGGACATTAGTCAGGTCTATAGGTAAACTTTGGTAGGGCTTATACTTGACATTATAGGTGGACATTAGTCAGGTCTATAGGTAAACTTTGGTAGGGCTTATACTTGACATTATAGGTGGACATTAGTCAGGTCTATAGGTAAACTTTGGTAGGGCTTATACTTGACATTATAGGTGGACATTAGTCAGGTCTATAGGTAAACTTTGGTAGGGCTTATACTTGACATTATAGGTGGACATTAGTCAGGTCTATAGGTAAACTTTGGTAGGGCTTATACTTGACATTATAGGTGGACATTAGTCAGGTCTATAGGTAAACTTTGGTAGGGCTTATACTTGACATTATAGGTGGACATTAGTCAGGTCTATAGGTAAACTTTGGTAGGGCTTATACTTGACATTATAGGTGGACATTAGTCAGGTCTATAGGTAAACTTTGGTAGGGCTTATACTTGACATTATAGGTGGACATTAGTCAGGTCTATAGGTAAACTTTTGGTAGGGCTTATACTTGACATTATAGGTGGACATTAGTCAGGTCTATAGGTAAACTTTGGTAGGGCTTATACTTGACATTATAGGTGGACATTAGTCAGGTCTATAGGTAAACTTTGGTAGGGCTTATACTTGACATTATAGGTGGACATTAGTCAGGTCTATAGGTAAACTTTGGTAGGGCTTATACTTGACATTATAGGTGGACATTAGTCAGGTCTATAGGTAAACTTTGGTAGGGCTTATAGACATTATAGGTGGAAACTTTAAACTTTTGGTAGGGCTTATACTTGACATTATAGGTGGACATTAGTCAGGTCTATAGGTAAACTTTGGTAGGGCTTATACTTGACATTATAGGTGGACATTAGTCAGGTCTATAGGTAAACTTTGGTAGGGCTTATACTTGACATTATAGGTGGACATTAGTCAGGTCTATAGGTAAACTTTGGTAGGGCTTATACTTGACATTATAGGTGGACATTAGTCAGGTCTATAGGGTAAACTTTGGTAGGGCTTATACTTGACATTATAGGTGGACATTAGTCAGGTCTATAGGTAAACTTTGGTAGGGCTTATACTTGACATTATAGGTGGACATTAGTCAGGTCTATAGGTAAACTTTGGTAGGGCTTATACTTGACATTATAGGTGGACATTATAGGTCTATAGGTAAACATTATAGGTGGACATTAGTCAGGTCTATAGGTAAACTTTGGTAGGGCTTATACTTGACATTATAGGTGGACATTAGTCAGGTCTATAGGTAAACTTTGGTAGGGCTTATACTTGACATTATAGGTGGACATTAGTCAGGTCTATAGGTAAACTTTTACAGGTAGGGCTTATACTTTGACATTATTATAGGTGGACATTAGTCAGGTCTATAGGTAAACTTTAGGTAGGGGGCTTATACTTGACATTATAGGTGGACATTAGTCAGGTCTATAGGTAAACTTTGGTAGGGCTTATACTTGACATTATAGGTGGACATTAGTCAGGTCTATAGGTAAACTTTGGTAGGGCTTATACTTGACATTATAGGTGGACATTAGTCAGGTCTATAGGTAAACTTTGGTAGGGCTTATACTTGACATTATAGGTGGACATTAGTCAGGTCTATAGGTAAACTTTTAGGGCTTATACTTGACATTATAGGTGGACATTAGTCAGGTCTATAGGTAAACTTTTATACTTGACATTATAGGAGGACATTAGTCAGGTCTATAGGTAAACTTTGGTAGGGCTTATACTTGACATTATAGGTGGACATTAGTCAGGTCTATAGGTAAACTTTGGTAGGGCTTATACTTGACATTATAGGTGGACATTAGTCAGGTCTATAGGTAAACTTTGGTAGGGCTTATACTTGAAAGTATAAGTAAACATTGGTCAAGTTTATATTTGCGCCTATTATTAAACATTGCTTAAGTTTCTACTTGAGTTTATGAGTTGGTATTACGGTATGTAATTTTTGATGGCTTATTTAATGTCGAAAATTTAGATTGTGCACCCTTGGAAGATTGAACTCACTACTGAGGCAATAACTTTTGTCTACAGTTTCGTCAGATTTATGTTTGAGTCTATAGGTAAATATCTGTATACATGATTCGATAGGTAAACATTAGCCAGGTTTATACTAGAGTTTATAGATAAACATTTGTCGGTTTTATACCTGATTCAGTTAGCATCCACGAAAATGATACTCGTATGGATTTGTTTGACTGTTTGGTAGGGAATAGAGCTGGTGTATCTTAAGCTCTGCTAACAAGGCAATGTATAAAAAGTAAATCGGATTGTTGTAGCATAGCTTCAAACGGTAATGGGTTTGTCTCCATTCACATAAATACAGTAGTAAATACTGTATGTTGGTCTGCAGTTGTGCTGGTCAATCTTTCTGCCACCGGGTAGAGAGGATCCCCAAGACGAGGCTATGTCAAAGGACAGAGTCTCGTCTCGGAAAACAGCTACCCACCCCGTTTTATACAGGGTCTAAGTGGGAATTTTTGGCCGAGTCTACGGGTGCGGATATCCCTGATTAAATTTGGCCTTGTGCCACATTTGACCGCGTTATTGTAGATATCCTGAATTTAGAGAATCGTCTCCAGTTGTGCTGTCCAAACTCTCTGCCTCCGGGCAGAGAGGATCTCCGGACAAGGCTATGTCGAATAACAGGGTCTCGTTTTGCAAAACAGCTACTCGACCCCGTTTTATACGGGGTCTAACTGTGTATTTTTGGTCGTGCCTATGGGCTCGGATACCCCACATTAAATTCGGCCTTGTGCCTCATCTGACCGCGTGCGGCGGTTGGTAGACATCCCGCATTTGGAGACTCATTATGGAATACAATTGACTCACTTCTAGTAGTTGACTACTTCTTCTACGCGCATCTGGCGAGTCTTATATGTGTTGTTCTTGTCCTAAGTATTATCGTTCATTACCAACCTTCGTGTGATCATTCTATTCAGTAACCTTCCCTAGGTTACAATGCTGATGTAAAATAAATTACGCATTTATTATTATTTCTTAAGCTAGCATGTATTATACAAGTAAAGGGAAAGAGGGAGGAAGATTGTATTGCGCCAATTTTGCAAGAAGTTAATATGTCTGCCTGGAAAATTAGCTTGAGTTGGAACCTGAAAAATGTTACTAGCGTGAAATACGCGATCGACGTCTTCCAAAGGGCTTAGGTCAGCACAGTAACATGTCAGAGAGAGAGATAGAAAAAAGAGATGAAGAATACGTTGCACCAATCGCCCTAGTATAAGAGGAAATGTTCGTCTTAAAATCAGCTTTGGAATTTTTCTTTTTCTATCATCCTGGGTTCTAATATCAACATCTATTACCGATGGGAAATGCACATTTGCTTCTGCCATGAGGCAGACCACAAGTGGGACATTATTTATTGATATTCTTGCTGTTCTGGAGACTGACTATATACTTCTTTTTTTTATTATCCCCCCCCACCTCCAAGAAAAAGTTTCAATCAATGCATTACTGACACGTGTTTTATTTGGAACATTTTTGTAGAATTTCTCTTTCCGCTGGGGTGGGCGATTTCTAAGTCAAAAACGCGTCGGCCTCTTAAATTTGAATTCATTCAGTGTTTCTTGTTCGCGCTAACGCAATATCGACATCTTCCGAACACAGCCCGTCGCCTTACATTTCACGTCTTTCCTATTTAAAGGAAACTTCTTTTCAGACCTGAGCGTTGCTCTGAGGGGAAACTGATGCACCAGGATCTCAAGTTATCCAGGAATAGATGAGCAAGTGTTATTTATAATCTCTGCTTCAAGAGTTCGTAGAATCCCCGTTACATCTCAAGTAGTAAATAAATGAATATAAAGTGAGTTGAATTCTTTCAGCTTCCCGCCACACTGACATGTACAACTCACACGCACACGTATATAAACGAGATGCTACCGAACATTCTGGGGGATTTGACTATGAATGACATTACTTATTCTTGTACAAAGTTTCTAAGATATTTTTTAAAGTATTATCTTTATAGTATTTAAACTCACTATCACCAATTGGAATGTATGCGTGCCTGTGTGTGTTTGTGCCTGGGTGGGTCTATAGTGCTACCAAATAGTTCGGATAACTGAAGTTGTAAAATGGCTTCCGAAAATTAATAAATAATTCAGAGAATAATAGTTTTTTTTTATCTTCTGATGGAGTGATTTCGTCCCTCGTATGGTACAAAATCCGAGTGACTGCATTTATGATGTTACTGCTTAAAATGACAATTTTTCATCTTTCCATTTATTTTTTCCACTTTTCATTTATTCCCCTCTCCAGTCAACCACAACACTCCATTATATAGTAGCATTAAAAGTAAGGTAATAATAATAATAAAAGTAAGGTGAAAATAAAAGTAAGGTAATAACAGTATTAAAAGTAAGGTAACAATAAAAATAAAAGTAAGGCAATAATAAAAGTAAGTTAATAATAAAAGTAAGGTATTACTAAAAGTAAGGTAATAATAGTAATCAAAGGTAATAATAAAAGTAAGGTAATAATAGTAATAAAAATAAGTTAACAATAAAAGTAAGGTGATTATAGTAATAAAAGTAAGGTAATAATAGTAATAAAAGTAATGTAATAATAGTAATAAATGTAAGGTAATAATAAAAGTAAGGTACTAATATTAATAAAAGTTAATGATAAAAGTAAGGTAATTATAGTAATAAAAGTAAGGTAATAATAAAAGTAAAGTAATAATAAAAGTAAGGTAATAATAAAAGTAAAGTAATAATAAAAGTAAGGTAATAATAGTAATAAAAGTAAGGTAATAATAGCAATAAAAGTAAGATAAAATCCATAGGAAGCAGTTTGTACGTATAGGGGCGAAAGGTAACCCTAGATTTGAACATGTAGTCATCGGGTAAACATCCTTTTGGGAGTCAGTTCCACAGAGCAGCGATTCAAGGAAAGAAGCTGTTCGAGTAGAAATTACATCTCTCCGAGGATCAATCGGTTAGCAAGGTCGAATTTACTGCTTTTAAACTTCAATCATCCATGAATCTCTCACGTACATTCATGTCTGCTCATGGTGTATCAAATGTAAGTAAATGAAGTCACACATTATGAAATGGACAAAGTCTGACAAACCGATCCTCTGTGGCGAAATCGGTAAAAGCACGTCAGGCTATATGACGATTCCGTATAGGATACAGGTTCGATTCCTGTCGGAGGACGAATATTTTCTGTGAAAATTTCTCGGACATTTAGGCCGGTAAATGTTATCTAATACTGTTTATTATAAACAGAGCATTTACTTAAATATTTGTTTCTATAAAAAGAATGTTAAAAATAAAAAAAAAACGTCTTAAAATAATTGTCGGACTTTGTCCATTTCATAATATATATATATATATATAATGCTTTATATGAACAGAGTAAGTCATCTGAAATTTTATTATTTTTTAAAATTATATTTTTTTCTTTTTTCTTTTTTCTTTCATGGTTTTATGAGAAACTTTGAGTCTAAATATATACGTAATATGTTGACGCTTGTAAATTTAAAATAAATCATATATGTATCATTAAATATTGAAAATTCCTTGTGACTTTTGTTCGAAACTGAAAATAGAAAATGCTTAAATTCCCAGATTTTACAAACGTTTTTGGAAATTCCTTGTAGAGATCGGATTTTTTTAAAAAAATGGTTTTGATGGATTTTAAAGACGCTCTTAAACATTGGCTTCCTTCTGACATTTCTGTGGCTATTTCCGTGTAAAGTTGCATCTATTTTCATTATTTAAATTGCAAATTTTGAGTATCTATATGTGCGTGTAGTGGGTATGGGGGTTTCACATATGTTCCTCTATATTCTTAAATATGGTAGAACCACTGGGCATAAAACCAAAACGCAGCAGCTATCACTTTCACTGCAACGCGTTCTGCATTAATCACCTTTCTAGCCGAGTCTGGTTGGCGCCAAACCGTTGATCTTCTGCTTTGCTAACTCATAGAAATGAACCGAGATCTCATTTGCTATTACTATCTTGCTTAAGAATAGGCTACCATTGTCGGACAGCTCTTGGGCCCCGGGTAATAATCACTCTCTGCTCCTTCGGAGAGTCTGTTAGCATTCTGCGAATCCACTTTGGATAGATTGCCCTTCTTGTTTGTAAGCAAGAGATTGCACAAAACAAAAGGCTTTCTTTGTCGTGTGAAGTGGTGGACAGACTGCAATAGTAAATCCTTCTGTTATCTGTAATGAGATTATTAACCAAAAGCACTATTTTGAAATCCTTACTCAACATAGCCTCTGATCATTTATTATAAAACCAATATATCTTGTGGGTAGTAATGGGAGTTGGAAAGAGATAGATAGATAGATAGATAGATAGATAGATAGATAGATAGATAGATAGATAGATAGATAGATAATGAAGAAGCGGAGTTAGATAGATAATGAAGAAGCGGAGATAGATAGATAGATAGATAGATAGATAGATAGATAGATAGATAGATATGAACAGACGTAGAGATAAATAGTTAGACTGAGATATAGATAAATACATAGTTTTGTTAGATAGATATAAACATACATAAATAGATATGGACATTGCCAGATAGATAGACATGAACAAGCAGAGATAGATAGATAGATAGATAGATAGATAGATAATGTTGAGGGGTCCACCCCTTTTTACACAAATGAACTCACCCAGTATATACATACACTACGGCTATGTGAAGACCCGAGAGAGTAAGACCGATGAGTCGAGTCGAGAGTGACCGAGTAAAAGGTTGTAGGTAACCGGAAGAGTGAGGGGTGAGGTAACAGCGTTGTAGGAGTCACAGTGAACAAGCACGTAGACTCAGTAAGAAGTCATACAGCGATACTTCAATACCAAAGACTGTATATATAGTTTGCTACTAACCCGTATTCCTGGAACTACTAACCTGCTTTACCAGTTTGTATTATTACGTTAATACATTATTTTCATATATTCATTCCTGGCGTTTGTTATTTATTGGTACCGGATTTCAACCCGGAATCCACAACAGATAGATAGATAGATAGATAGATAGATAGATAGATAGATAGATAGATAGATAGATAGATAATGAAGAAGCGGATAGATAGATAGATAGATAGATAGATAGATAGATAGATAGATAGATAGATAGATATGAACAGACATAGAAAGAAAGAAAGAAAGAAAGAAAGAAAGAAAGAAAGAAAGAAAGAAATAGGAGTCAGAAGATTTTATTATGCCTGTCAAGTGAAATCAGCATTCGTAATCTTACATTTTCAGCTGAGATCAAACCCGGGCTTGTGCCAACGATGGGACCTAATGTAATTTTCCGGATAAATGTCACAAGGGTATAAGCGAGTGACTGCGATTTAATATTGCAAAAAATAATTTCGAAAACTTGTCAGAAGTGCGCATGCCTGGAGGAGGGCATATATGCCTAAGAGAAAACAAAATTTAATAAAACATGATGCGGGAAGTGTTCGCGAAAATCCTTGTCACACGATGCCATCGAAAAACAGTGTGCTAATTGTCAAACATTTCGTGTCTTGTTTACGAGCTGCTGGTTGACTGCTTCTAAAATGCATGAATGAAGATTTACGAGCAGTTACAAATCGTAATACGAAAGACGGTAGTGTGGATGGAGCTCACAGGATGCATATTTATGTAAGATATAATGGTTACTGTAAATACAGACTAAGCTTGGAACAACGTAAGGACGAATAAAATGCAACGGCGAAGAGCGGAAGACAATGTAGATCTAATCTTTTAGAGCAAGCAGTAGTTGCCTTGAAAAGAATCACTTTTTGGTTTTTAACTAGCGTGGAACCATCGGAAAATGAAGCCATCACCACACATCTATCTATCTATCTATCTATCTATCTATCTATCTATCTATCTATCTATACGCACACACACACACACACGCACACACACACACACACACTATATATATATACAGTAGCGTCCAAAGCTAAGGGACAAAATTTTAAAACCTAATATTTGTTAGAAATACAAATGACTAAGACTTATTCTTTAGAGGAAATCAAAAAATTTGAATATAGCATACTGTTTACATTGTTTTTCTCAATTTTGTCCCTTACTTTTGGACGTTCCAAATTTGAAAATAAATAAATAATTGTTATAATTCTTTTTCTATCCTTTGCAAATGATTCAAATTTTAGTATGTTATTATGGATGATAACGACTACCAGTTGTCAAAATTTTAGCTTTTCACAGTTGTTATTTCTAACAAATATTAGGTTTTAAAATGTTGTCCCTTAGTTTTGGACGCTACTGTATATATATATATATATATATATATATATATATATATATATATATATATGCACACACACACAAGTTAGGCTGCTTGTTCGTATGTATATGTCAATGTCCATATCTACCTATCTATCTATGTTTGTTTATATCAATCTAACAAAATTATCCATTTATATATATCGCAGTCTAACTATTTATGTATATATGTCTGCTCATATCTATCTATCTATCTATCGATCTACCTACCTACCTACCTACACACGCAAAAATGCACTATGCCGCTTTTTATTCACACACACATAAGGTATGCTGCTTTTTCGTATGTATATGTCAATGTCCATATCTATCTATCTATGTTTGTTTATATTAATTTAACAAAATTATCCATTTATATATATAGCAGTCTAACTATTTATTTATGTATGTCTGTTCATATCTATCTATCTATCTATCTATCTATCTATCTATCTATCTATCTATCTATCTATCTATCTATCTACCTACCTACACACACAAAAATGCTCTATGCCGCTTTTTATTCAATCAAAAAAGGCAAGGGCATTTTCAGTTACGTTATACACACACACACACGCCCACACATATATTTCATGTTCACATATACATATATACTTCCCATAACTATCTTAATTTTCAAGATTTATATATATATATATATATATATATATATATATATATATATATATATATATATATATAGTCAAAAAGTCGTGTGGGAAGAAGTGATTTCGGATACGCAAATGAGTGCGTCACGTGCCGGGAAAGCGGCGGAAGTCGAGTCGGGCATTGTTCTTTACCAATGCAGATGCGTGGCGCGCACACATCAGTCATAGCCCGAGCAGCGGCGAGGAGACATGACGGTGTCGAAGCAGCTCTTTCAGTGTTGTCTGCTTTATGACGTTAAGGTGGGCTAGTCCGCACACGCATCAAGGCGCCAAATATGTCAAGCCTTTGGGGATAAGGCCTTGGGTGAACGCAACGCCAGATAATTGATTCCAGAAGTTTAGGTCGAGGGATCTGTACCTTTGTGAAGTTCCCCGTAGTGTCTGGCCGCAGGTCCTAGATGATGGCCCTGAAAGCGCCCACAAGATAATAGCCAAAAAGCAACAACGAATGACGACCTGTTTCTCGTTACTTTCTCGGCACCGCTACATACCTATATTTGATCTTGTCCTCACCAGTGACATCTCCAAGCGTGCCAGACATTGGTTGTCATCACAGTACACTGCGCCTCACACCACAAGACCTTCTCGACATCTACGCAAAATCATGCTCTGATTCCAGTGGACTAGTCGACAAGTGATGCACAATGAGCTGCTACTAACAGACCAAACCATCACTGCGAACCTATACTTGCAGTAGTTGAAACGTGCGCAACAGGCGCTGAAGCAGAACTTGCCAGCATTGGTTAATTGCAATGACAATGCTAGGCCTCATGTGGAGCGGGTGATCAGGAATGCCATACGGTGACTTGGCTAGGAGACACGGTGCCATTCACCTTACTCTCCGGACCTTGCACCAACAGATTACCGCATCTTCCAGGGGGAATTCATCGCAAATTAGGCAGACTTTCGGCAGGTAATCACAGATTTCTTTGCATCCAAGACATGATTTTTTTTTTTTTGCGCAGCTGGAAACACATTGGTAAAAGGTTCATGATGCCGATGGAAATTACTTTGAGGACTAACGGTATGTCAAAATTGCTATATACCGCTTTTTATTAAATCAAAAACAGCAAGGGCATTTTTAGTTACCTTACACACACACACACACACACACCCACATACATACATATATATATATATATATATATATATATATATATATATCATGTTCACATATACATATATACTTTTCATAACTATCTTACTATTTTCAGGATTCCTTTTTGCACATATATCTATTCATATCTACCTACTTGAGTTTGTGATAATAAATAAAAGCGAATATTTTTGTAGTTTACATCAATATCTAACCTTGTGTTTAAGCCTCTTTCTGGATATTGGTAACTTTTTTTTTTACTAAGGATTTGTTTGATTTGCCTTGAGAACTTGGATAAAAAAACAATTGGAAAATAGTCCTTAGACGCGTCTTGGGAGAATTTTCAAATTGTTTCTTTTATCCAATTTGTCTTATCTTCAGAATTATTCTGAATAATTTAACAATAACTATGTATGTATATATGTATGAAAGCTCTATTATTGCCATTTTTATACGAATGGTCACCCAATACAAGTCCCAAGAGCCACTCATGGTAGAGGGTTAGTGTGGTGATGTATGAGCGTATGAAAAGCAATAAATAAAGTTCATGGGGTTTGCATGAACGGTAATGATTAACACTAAACTTGAATAGATCAAGATTGTAAGGATTTGGAAATCATCCTGCACGGAGTCTGTTCTACAAAGTAACAGTTCTTGGATAGAAGCTGGCCGAGTGGAGCTTCCTTCTTACTACTAAAATACGAAGGGAATAGGGATGATTCATCCATGTATACGTGGCAAAGCGGGTCAAAGTTGCGTATGTCAGGGCTGATGGAAATAAGCAATGTACTTCGCCAGAATACATGCCACGGAAATAGCGGGGAGAGGCTCGTGATGTTTTGTCTGTGGTAAAGTGTTTGTAGGGCAGAAAATAATTCATCACCCACAAGACTGCGTAGACACTTTTGAACTCTGTCAAGGCTGGAACGTAAGGTTTTGGCAACTTCACCCCAGATATAGTAGAAGTACTCTATTTTTGGTCTAATCTGGCTCTTGTAAAGTTAGAGTGCACCAGAGGAAGTTACTGGATCGGTACAATGAACCGACCATTTTCCCAACATCTTTAGCTATAAATCGTATATATGAATTTCATTTGACATCTGGGAAGAGCTTGCGTCCAAATAGACATTCATGGATGTAGTTAAAGATATAATCACTTACCTAGAGAAAGAGTTTGTGTTTTGCGTGCGATCTACCGAAAAAAATTACCGTAAGTAGTTAGCAAAAATCTGCTAATTTATGTATGAGATCTATGCTAATATTCTTTTCTCCTCTGAATGGCGTGACAAATCAGAAAAATCGCTCGGTGAATAAAAGCCGTTGTATTTTCGCTTACGAGGCAAAATTTTTTCTGAGCTTGGTGGACGAACCTGCGTTTTTGCTGGTGATAAGTAAAGGGTGGATTTGTGACCCTATTTTGTTGTTTCTACGTTGCCTGTTGGACTGTTACGACGGACTATTGTTCGAACTGGGATTTGGCTATAAGTGTTGCGATTTTGCTGGTGATAAGTGAAGGTTGGATTTGTGACCCCATTTTGTCGTCTCTACGTTGCCTGTTGAACTGTTACGACGGACTATCGTTTGAACTGTGATTTGGCTACAAGTATTGCGGACAAGAGACAGAAGAAACCTATTGCAGGTGTTTATTGCAACTAGAAGTTTACAGGTTTTTTTTATTTTCTTTACTACAACAAAGAGCCCGCCTCCTTGAGAGAAAACTCATCAATTATGATAGGCAAAAGTTCAGGGTCCACTTAGTTACATGAAAGTCCTTCCCGCGTTGAGCCACCTGGGTTAGTTAAGAAGAGATATGCTCCGCTCGGTTAGTCTGATCTAGATTTGGAGGGGAAACCTACGTATAAAAAGTTGTATCATACGCAGAGATTTTCTATAAAGATCGGGGGGGGTATGTTCTTGATGTTAGAATAACAATCTGAAAATGGAACCCAGATTTTAATCTCATCATAGTCGATATGTAGAGAACCCGGCCTTTTTCTATATCCACCTGACAAGATAATATCAGTCCGGGGTGCTATTTAAAAGTGCCTGAAAACAACGTAGCTGATTAAGCCAAACCTTTTCTGTGAAATTGGGAAGAAAGAACTGGTCGGACCTTTAGTGCTAGCACAAAGTCACAAGTTCATCGCCGTTTATCTTTTATGCTTACTTGATGTAAAGTTTTCCACTGACATGAAGTGGAAATATATTAAACAAACTGCTAAGCCTGCAGGTAGGAAGTCTGGCTCACTGTGTAGGTCTAGACACTTTTTCTCGCCCGAATCTATTTTGCATATTTATAAATCTACTATTCATTCTTGCTTTGAATACTGCTTACACACATAGTTTAGTGTTCCTGTTATATATTTACAGATCTCTATCTATAAAAGGCAGGATGTGTGTGTGTGTAACAAAAATGCACGGCCGCAATTTTCGACGGATTTGCACCAAAATTTATATGCACATGCTCCAAGTTAGCGGGAAGACCAAGACCGACTTTGCATTTCCCAACTCCCATCGACAGTGGAAATAATCGATATGTTCATGCTTCTACGGCACTTTTCATGTAGTTTGCGGCCATTTTCTACTGGCCAGAGTGAGAG